GTAAAGAAATTTACCACATTTGCGATTTCGCCTTACATTGAGGAGGAACAATTCCACGCGCACAAGTCCCACGCCTTTAACGCTTTTTTGCAAAAGTATAGTGCGCAGCATGCATATACTGCCGTTTATTCGCCGGAGTCGAAGGCCTCAGCAAGAGTGAATCGGTCCATTCTGGCCGCCATAAAGGCTTATATACACACTAATCAATCCACTTGGGACGTCCAACTAAGCAGCATTGCCTGCGCATTGCAATCGTCCACACATAGCGCCGTAAAATCTAGCCCTTACCGATTAGTTTTCGGTCAGCAAATGGTCACCAACGGAGAGAAATACAAATTACTAAAAGAATTGGAGCTGTTAGAAGACCGAGACATACAGTTCTCAAAGGAGGATTCGTTTGAAATCCTTAGAAAAGCTGCTACTGACAGAATGCGCAAACAACATGATCACAATGAGAGGACCTACAATGCACGTAGCAGAATAGTATCCTTCAGGCCTGGTCATGGGGTTTTTCGTAGAAATTTCCAAAAGAGTTGTTTTGTGAAAAAGTTTAACGCAAAGTTAGCCCCAATATTTGTTAAAGCGCGTGTGAGCAGAAAATTAGGTCAGGCGTACTATGAACTGGAAGACTTACAGGGCAAACTGGTTGGTTTCATGCAAAAGATATAAGACAATAACAGACGAAAAACAAAAAAAAACGCTATAGTCGGGTACCTCGACTATCAGATACCCGTCACTCAGCTAATGGGACCAAAGGGAAATGGAGATATGCAAGTAGCAAAGCGAGATTAAAATGCGCCACCTACCGGCGGTAGACAGATTTAAGCGTTATGGGCGTTAGAGGTTTGGGCGGTTTGTGGGCGTGGCAAACTTTTTGGGTCAATCGATAGGTATTGATGAGAACAATACATTTCAGTTAAAATTTTTATTCTAGCATCAAAACTGTAGGAGCCACTGTTTTGGGCGGTTTGTCAGCGTTAGAGTGGGCGTGGCACGCTTCTGAAACAAACTTGCGCGGCGTAAGAAGCTCAAGAATCTGCACGCCAAATCTCAACAGCCTAGCTCTTATAGTTTCCGAGATCTCAGCGTTCATCCGGACGGACAGACAGACGGACATGGCTAGATCGACTCGGCTAGTGATCCTGATCAAGAGTATATATACTTTATGGGGTCGGAAACGCTTCCTTCTGCCTGTTACATGCTTTCCGACGAGTCTATTATACCCTTTTACTCTACGAGTAATGTATCTTGTCGCTCGCTTGTCCACAAAGTAAATAAGCCTGGAAGTAGACTTTAGTTTTTTTATGAACTAAGCTGTTAAGTTCAGCTGATACTTTGGTTACCTGAGGTTCTGACACGCATGTCTTGGCCTTTTCTAATTCAAAAGCCAACCAAGGCAGACGTGAACTCTAAGGTCAATCTTTAAAGTGAGTGACTGCTGACAGTAGTCAATTTTATTAGGTACCTAGGTGCAAAAGCACACCTTTATTCTCCCATCCATTGCTTTTTTTCATCGATGAAACGCTCCGACCTCCAGACGTTCCAGGCAAAGCTCAGACTTTCCGAAAGAGGTCGGCCAAAGCAGTGGCCAGAGAGGAGAGGGTCTTTAGTTTTTACTACCAGTGCAAACACAACTATCGCAGCTCCGAGCAGCGCGCTTGAAACATCGGAAAACGGCGGAGAATCGATCGAAAAATCCCGCTCATCATCGTACAAAAATTTGCCGGCAGTGTCCAAGTTTTTTTCTGTGTGTTTGAAAACCTAATAACTGTCTAAATAGACAAAAAGACCCGCACAAACACATAACCTGCAGGAACACCACCCCACCAATAATGTAATCGCTTTATAACTAACCTACATGAACGAACAGTAGTGTCTCCAGTTATTGTCTCCGGGTACTGGCCCTCTGCTTTATTAATTATTTAACTTATAATTTTCTTAGATTACTTAAATTTAAATTCTTTAAAATATTCGCAAAAGCTAATAGCCTAGAAAAAAAACAAGGAATAACGCTATAGTCGAGTACCTCGAGATATGCAAGCAGCAAAGCGAGACTTAAATGCGCCACCTACCCCTGCTCACAATATATGGTTATGTGGGCGGTAGACAGATTTAAGCGTTATGGGCGTTTAAGTGGGCGTGGCAAACTTTTTTTTGGGTCAATCGATAGGTATTGACGAGACTAATACATTTCAGTTAAAAATTTTTTCTAGCATGAAAATTGTGGATGCCACAGGTTTGGGCGGTTTGTGGGCGTCGCAAACTTTTTGATAAGAACAATACATTTCAGTTAAAATTTTATTCTAGCATCGAAACTGTATGAGCCACAGTTTTGGGCGGTTTGTGGGCGTTAGAGTGGGCGTGCCACGCTGCTAAAACAAACTTGCGCTGCGTAAGAAGCTCAGAAATCTGCATGCCAAATCTCAACAGCCTAGCTCTTATAGTTTCCGAGATCTCAGCGTTCATCCGGACGGACAGACAGACGGACATGGCTGTATCGACTCGGCTAGTGATCCTGATCAAGAATACATATACTTTATGGGGTCGAAAACGCTTCCTTCTGCCTGTTACAAACTTTCCGACGAATCTAGTATACCCTTTTACATTACAGTGAGTTTCAGTGACACCATTCAACGACGAAAGCGCTTTCCTCGCGGGATGTTCAATGAGTGAGTCACCCTACTCATATTATAGAATTTTCTTATATGCCTAAAGAAAGCCCCGACCAGAATTTCAGACTAATTAACATAACAATTTTATTGAAACACTAAAAATGAAAACAAATTTAAAATAAAATTAATTGATCGAAAATTGGAACAAAGAAAAAAAATGAAGTTAATGAATTGAAAGTAAACCAAATGGAGTAACCGGTAGAAAAATAAAATAGAGTAACTGGAGCAGTAATTCGAATTCGCCGCAGGTAGGCAGGCACACCACTTCGGTTTCACAGCTACGGCCGCTGGTTGTATTTACGTTTTTCATTCACACGGGTTACTCTCCTTTATATATATATATATTGAAAATTTTTTTCCCTTTACTATAGTACTATTTTAAGAATATATTGCCATTATGCTTATATTTTTATATTTTAAATAATTATTATATTCCTATATCTATAAAATTATATTCCTTTAAGGGCATAAGCCCCGAAAAATGATGTCAGCAGTAGATTTAAAATTTTTTCAATTATAAATGAATTTTATGATGAATCGTGACCCCTAATAGAGACCCCTAATAAGCCAAATGGGACATGCCATAACAGGAGATGTGGCGGTAACATAGGAGGGTTAAGACCCTCCTCTAGGGATCAGTGTGAATTTGATAAGTGTGGGTGAGAGAGACTCTACAGTATACTAATTAGTGTCACTTTGAGCAAATCCAGGGTCTCGTCGATACCAATAGTTGTATTTCTATTTTCGGAATTCGAACTGCGCCAATGGTGCAAGCAAGCGTAGTTATCGATAAATCATTGTGAGCTCGACATTGTGTAAAAGACGACAAATATTTCGGTGCAAGGTGCTAGTGTTTTTTGAATCTGGTAAGTATTTTCCTAATAATATAATATATATGTACAAAATTCATTATTTGAATGTGAGTGTGCAATTAAAAAAAAAGTGTAGGCAAAGTGCGCAAAAGGAAAAAATATTTAGATCGATTACGAGTACATATGCACATTACATTATGAGCAATACAGATTTAATAGGACTATTATGCTAAGTTTAAGCTAATCTTATAGGAATTAATATATAATAATAATAATTAATATTCTCAGAAACAGCACATGTATATACATTTGTATGTATATTTAGAACGCAGTTTCCAAGAATGAACAAGAATGTAGTTGGGGGTTACATACATAAATAAGTATTTACGGAGGAAAGTGTATCTATTCGTTACTGCGATGACATCGTATGCCATTTTTGAATGCAATTTGTTTTTTTTTCATTTAAGTTCATTATCGAGGACAACGTTGCTATGCAGAAGCTGCTTAAATTTGTTAAAGAAACCAATTTGGACGAAGGATGTCTAACAAATTTAACTGGTTCGTTTGCTGTTACACAATTAATTCCACAATATTTATTTAATTATATTTTTTTAATATTATTTATTTACACAATGTCGAGCTCACAATGATTTATCGATAACTATGCTTGCTTGCACGATAGGCGCAGTTTGAATTTCGAAAAAAGAAATACAATTATTGGTATCGACGAGAACCTGGATTTGGCTAAAATGACACTAATGTAGTATACTTTTGACACTCATTTAGGACCAAATTGATGCCAAAAATTTTGATCCTAGGTGTAGTGTCATTTTCACCCACACCTATCAAATTGACACTCGAATTTTTATTTTGGGTGTTTTATACATACAAATGTATATATTTAAATATTTACAATGCACGATCAAAACAGAACATTCTATTTCAAATATAAAAACACAAATATGCTTTGCTTAAAACTGTCACAATGTTAATTTACATTTGTTCTAAGCGTGCCAAATGTATCAAAGGCTGGTACCCAGTTTAAGTTATATAAATTTCCGTTACACTTTGACGGACTGCATAAAAGACTTTTTTCCTACTATTGTGCGCCAAACAAATTACTTTTACAAGGCAAATTGGCAGGTCCAGAAAATTAAGAATTTTTCTCTATATTTGAAATATTTAACTTTAGGGAAGCGAATCAATTATGAAATTGGAATCCTGTTTTATATGTTATTATTAATTATTATATTTTTAAAGCATTTAGGTAGAGTTTACAGACGCATTTAAAGTCAATGTGTTTAATTAGTAAGCAAATAGGTGCATTCCTGGGTACAGGCGCAATCTACATAAATACGTTCCAGAATGTGTTTAATTGGAACGCATCTAGCTGCATTTTTAAATTGATGGATTTCGAAACGTGTTTCGGGGCTGAGCGTCGGCAGAGAAACTCCCTGACTCCCGATTCTGGCTAGCGCCAAACACTGATACAATTCAATGGCCATTTGTTACATACCCCTTGAGCGATTGCCTGCTCCCTTAAAAATTGCGTCTTTTCTTGTTCAAAGAGCGCGGCGACACTCTCGTTATCTTTGGAGTTGTGCACTACAGTTTTATCCGCATTGTTCAGCAATTTCTCGTCGATCGGCGGGCCTAGCTCGCCTTCACTGAAGTGGTCCTCGGGGGGCTCCACGGCGGACTGCTCCTGCCACGAGTATTTGCTTACCACTGGGCAGAAGCTTACCCCCTTTCCGAAGGAGTTACGCAATCGTGCTGCCAGCAGAATACTCAGCGGCTTTGATTGGTGCATCGAAGTGTGAGTACTGCTCTCATAGATGTCCTCTGCTTGATGTCGGCCGTCACAGGCCGAGAGATTTGGGGTGCTGCTGACCAGTATGCCCTCTTTGTCCACCAACTTCTGCAAATGGGTCTGGAAACGGCGCGTGGCTAGGGGCCTTTGCAATATGTCCGTCTTGGCCTCCCATTGCACGTCGAAGTGGCACTGCTCTAGGCTTTTGGCGTACGATGTGCACAAATTAGTAGGGTCCTCGTCGAATGTTTTGACATCGTTATTAATGGACAGGTTTACTGCCATCTGGAGGGGGCACTTTTGGCGCGGTGGCGGCTTAATGGTCAGTTGTACGTGGTGCACTTGTGAGAACTCCTCGGGTGTATTTAAATGGCAGTAATCTGGCGAAGGGAATTGGTCATCTAAGACTCGCTTATCTGTCAGTATAGACACATTTTTGTCGTATAATTTGCTGATCTCATCCAACAAAAAGTTTCTCCTGCAATTCACTTGCTTATAGTATCGTCCATCAACGCTGTTTCTCTCCGACATCTCTTCTGGTTGGCTTCTCTTGTGTTTATTCTGAAGACGCTCTACTGATGGCAGCTTATCCTTATAGGACAGAAGCGTGAGATTCTGGTTACTGGCGTTTAAATATCCTGCACTTGCCGCACCCACTGCTCTCCAAGCGCGATCGTTAAGGATTTTCGAAAGGTTGTTGCAGTCAAGAAATAAGTCTTTACGCCTCGTCTCCCGCTCAAAGTGCAGCTCCTCACAGGAGCTACTTGCGCTGTTATTGCTGTGACAGTTGCGTTGGCTACTTAGAGTATGACACAGACTCCGCGGCTGTCCAAGCTTCAGCAGTTCATTGACAGAGTGACAGGCGCCTAGGAGCGGTTTGCCGCCGCAGCTGTTAATGGAACTGCTGCTCCGGGTGTGATGGCGGCTGCTGATGCTGGGGGCGGCCAGATCGTAGCCGTTTGCCTCGTTTTTAGATTTCGTGTTGATGATTCCGACTGAGAGTAGACCTCGCGACTCGCAGATGTCGGGCAAACTGTTGCGAAGCCAAGTGAACGAGGCGGACGACGACGTCGATGCCCATCTGGGCGGCGGTGACAGCGGCAAAGAAGATTCCGATTGAGAGCCGTCCCCCACCGGTGAACTATTAATAGACGACGACGGAGAGCACTGTGTTGCGACTGTGTTCACAGTTTGCTCTATTTTGGGCTGGCACAAATCATGTATGATGATGTTCATGTGGGAATGCGGTGTGGCCTCCTCCAGCAGGAGCAGCTTTTCATCTTCGCAGAGCTTGTCAAAATTCTTTGACATGGATTTCGATTTTTCGTGCTGCGTCCTGGGGTCGCAGTAGCTAGAGTCTTTCGAGAGGGCGGCAGCGATGTACTGTACTCCAGTTCCGGACTTAGTTGTCGGCGCACCTACACTGACGAGACACGAGCTAAGGCAGGGACTTCTGCTATCGCTGCAAGAGCTGAAACTGGAACTGTTCTCGAAGTTAGGTTTCAAGTCCGCCTGGTACAGGTCCTTTGAGAACAAGTCGTGCGGCTGCTGGGTCTCAAGGTTAAGTTTGTTCAGCTCGTAGTATGTTTGATGAAGGCGACTATAGTCGCTAGGCTCGAACCGCTTCATCAGGGACAGCGAAGAGGCCGATCCCTTTCGGCTTTCCGGATTGCTGTTAGTGGTCCAAGTTTCGGCACCCACCTCGTAGGTAAGCGACGGTGAGCTGTTGCCCAGACTGTTCATACTGTGGTGTTGCTCCTGGAGCGTAAATTGCCGTTCCAGAGACTCGAACTGCATCAGGGAGGAGCTCCGCGATAGCGAGTGGTAGGAGTAATTTTCGGAATAAAAGTCCTTAAATGTGCAGCCTCGCCGACTGCCTGAGCTGCTCTGCTGTCCCTGGCTTCCGGAGGTGTTTCGAACAACTGCTTCTGTGACCAGATCGCACTCAACGCTGCTATTGCGTTCTGGATCGAGAAGCCGGCGCAGTTGGACGCTGTCCTGAAGACTCTGACTAGGATCCGACTCCAGGCAGTGCCTCGGTCGCTTGGGTGGGCAAAAAAATTCCCGATCAGACATGGTATCGATATCTGCGTCGGAAAAACCAGTAAGATTGCCTTTTTTAGGATTAATATCCATTATCTGATTCCTAATCTCTTCTAAACGTATAACTGAGGAAATTTCGGACTCTATGGAGCTCAAGATGGTCGATCTGTGCTCTTGGCTACGCCGGTCACTTTCCTCGTCCTCGCTGGTCTCCTCCATGATGGGCTCTAACACTCGCTGGGAGCTGGACAAGCAGACTGCATCTACAAGAAATCAGGGAAAATGGGTTATAAGGCTATTGTTTACGTTTATTCATGCAGAGCAAACTTATGAATGTGGTATCACCGCTTGCCACTTGACCACATAAAGTGTATAAATTCTTGTTCAGGATCACTAGCCGAGTTGATCTAGCCATGTCCATCTGTCCGTATGAACGCTGTGATCTCGTTAACTATAAAAGTTGCAATACTGGATTTGGCATGCAGATTCTAGAGATTCCTGCGCAGCGCAAGTTTGTTTCAGCAGGGTGCCACGCCCACTCTAACGCCCACAAACCGCCCAAAACTGTGGCTCCTAAATTTTTAACTCTAAAACAAAAATGTGAAATGTATTATTCTAATCAATACCTATCGATTGACCAAAAAAATAGTGTGCCACGCCCACAGACCTCCCACAAACTTCAAAAAATCGTAAGTATGAACGCAGATACCTCGGAAACTATCAAAGATAGAGAATTGGGGTTTGTGACTTAGATTCCATAGCCTAGAACGCAGCGTAAGTTTGTTACGCGAATATGCCAAGCCCACTTTAACTCCCACAAACCTATGCCGCCCACAATGCTCATGGTAGAAAAAATTGTAACTGAAACGTACTAGTCTCTTTATAACCTATCGATTAACCCAAAAAAGGTTGGCCACGCCAACTCTAACGCCAAAAACTATGGCTTTCACTGAAATTAGTCACGTCAATACTTATCGATTGACCCAAAGACAAAAGAGTGCCACGCCCTTTCTAACGCGCATAACGCTTAAACCTGTCACGGCCCACATAAATATATATTGAAATAGCGGGTAGGTGGTAGGTGGCACATTACAATCTCGCTTTGCTGCTTGCATATCTCCATCTCTTGATACCCATTTCACCAATTGGCTTTGTTCCTTTGTAATATTACCCCTTTGTCCCCTTGCACAGTTCCCCAGAGATCATTTTATTTTCTCGTCGATTTAAATTGTGATATTAGAGATAGGTCCGAGTAAAAATCGTGAGTTACGTCTATATTTCTTTTCTGTTGATTTAAACTTCTTGAATGCACTTTACAGTCTAAAAAATGTGTTTGATAATTAAAATAATATTTTCTTTTCAAAAATAATAATAATTTTTTTTGCGTCTCTCCGTTATGTTCGGCTAGCGACTAATATTTCGGCGGAAAAATTTTCGTGAAGAAGCGACATGTGAATGCCCTAATATTTTAGGAGCATTATTGTGTATCGAAAAAAACAACTAATATTGTTTTATAAAAGTAAACAATTTGATTATAGTAAAATTTAGTAAATTGAATTTACTTATAATGTTATATTTACTTATTATACATTCTTATTACAATATAATTTTATAGTTAAGTTATAGAAATTTAGTCCGTTAAAATTGATTTAAGTATTTAAAACATTTAAGTATTAACATTTAAAAAAAATCGTATTGTATTTTTTACTCAAGAAGTAAAAACTATATAGTCGGATATATTTTACTTTAGAAAGGGTATAGGTGCAGTGGCACGCGCCAACAGCGAAGAGAAAACAAAAGAAATCTAGTAAAGGGGTGAGAAGACTTGGTGCATTCTGTTTGAGTGATTGAAAGGGAAGCATCCATTTTAATGGTGCGCAGCAGAGTTACTTTAATCGTTTAGTTAATATAATAAAGTCAGGTAAGTGCTACATTAAGTTTAAGATGTTGTGCATTGATCTTAGTTTAAAGTACGTAAATTTTGAAGGTATTCAATGGGTTCCGTTAGCCGAAAGTGGATGACGAAATGTTTTGTGCCAATAAAAATTCAGCAACAAGCTATAAAAGGTAAATATACAATTAAACAAATAAAACGCATTTTTTAAACATATGTTTTTCAGGAGCGTTGGCCAAGGATTCAGAGGACCCGGACAAAGGTTTAAGAACGGCGATGTCTAACGTTAAAAATAAGCTTACGAAGCAAAAAAACAGAAACAATAATTGTACAATTTTTGAAAATCTAAATAGTACCATATAATTAAAATGAATTAAAATGAAATGAATTAAATTCTATATTTTTTTAATTGAAAACTCAAAGAAAAATTCTGATTTTCACAAGTGATTCACTTGGGACGTGTCCCTTGCAAGTGATTTCACAAGTGAAAACTCAAGGAAAAATTCTGATTTTCCCAAGTGTTTCACTTGGGACGTGTCCCTTGCAAGTGATTTCACAAGTGAAAACTCAAGGAAAAATTCTGATTTTCCCAAGTGATTCACTTGGGACGAGTCACCGGCACGTGACAGGCCATACGAAAAATGAGTATAAGGAACAAGTGAAATCCCGTAGGACTTCGAAAAATTTTCATTTGAATTTTCACTTGTGAAAATGCGGACATCCCATACAATTTTCTATATGGAGCGTCACTTGTTCTTCACTTGTGCAAGAGGACATGTCCCACGGGATTCACAAGTGAAACTTTTTTTTTTGGAACTGAAGGGCAGTGAAGCAAAAGGTCTTTTGCGTATGTATTGGTATACATTAACACGCATAAGCAAGCAAATCGTTAAGCGTCTGCAGACGAAATATATTAATTACGATCGTGAATTGAAAATAAATTTAAATTGTTCTTTTAAACAAATTATATTATTTCAATTTCATAACAACAAAAGTACAGTCAGCACAACATTTATTCGGACACTCTCTATGAGCAAGTTTAATGGTTTATTTATTTAAACTTTCGTAATTTTAGCAACTTTTTTTCTACGTATCATGGAAACAGTTATTTTCATAATACATTTATATTAAATAATATTTTTTTTTGTATTACTCACGAAAATATGGAAAGGAAAGCGAAAATACTGCTCAAAATGCTGCACAAAAATTATTCGGACATTTCTTATTTTTCGACTTATATTTCTGAATGCAACGGTAATCGCCGACTCCTTTTGGTACTTTTCTTGGAATTAGTTCAGATCAGGCTTCGGTGTGCTTTTTCTTCTGTTTTTCGGTTACTTTCGGCGCGTCTCTTGATAAGATTAGACAAAATGGGCAGAGGTCAAGATTTATCGCTTGATTTGCGAAAATCTATATTAAAATTACATTTGGAGAATAAAAGTTATCGTGAAATCGGTAGAATTATTGGCAAATCACCTTCCACAATACATAGTGTGATCAAAAAATAACTAAATACTGGAGAATTAGCTGCAAATCACGGGAATTCTGGAAGGCCAAAAATTCTAACACCACGCGAGGAACGAAAAATTGTGTCTACAGTCTTGCAAAATCCAAGAACAACATCTACAATAATTCGGAAGAATGTAGAGGAAGCTACGTTTGCGGTCAAACCATCCGAAACTGCCTGCACAAGGCCGGATTACATGGTAGAGTTGCTCGTCGAAAACCATATATTTCTGCCATCAACAAAAAAAAACGTTTGGAGTTCGCAAAACTGCATGTTAACCAGCCGGATTCGTTTTGGGAGAACGTTATTTTTAGTGACGAATCGAAATTTAACATTTTCGGACACGACGGCCCTTCGAAAGTATGGAGGAAACCAAATGAAGCCTTGAAAGAGAAGAACTTGATTTCAACTATTAAGCATGGTGGCGGCAAAGTAATGGTTTGGGGGTGTGTAGCTGCAGGTGGAGTCGGTCAAATGGTCAAAATGGTACAATTTTCTATATGGACCCTTCAGTTCCAAAAAAAAAGTTTCACTTGTGAATCACCTTGTGAATCCCGTGGGACATGTCCTCTTGCACAAGTGAAGAACAAGTGACGCTCCATATAGAAAATTGTATGGGATGTCCGCATTTTCACAAGTGAAAATTCAAATGAAAATTTTTCGAAGTCCTACGGGATTTCACTTGTTCCTTATTCTCATTTTTCGTATGGCCTGTGACGTGCCGGTGACTCGTCCCAAGTGAATCACTTGGGAAAATCAGAATTTTTCCTTGAGTTTTCACTTGTGAAATCACTTGCAAGGGACACGTCCCAAGTGAAACACTTGGGAAAATCAGAATTTTTCCTTGAGTTTTCACTTGTGAAATCACTTGCAAGGGACACGTCCCAAGTGAATCACTTGTGAAAATCAGAATTTTTCCTTGAGTTTTCAATTAAAAAAATATAGAATTTAATTTATTTCATTTTAATTCATTTTAATTATATGGTACTATTTAGATTTTCAAAAATTGTACAATTATTGTTTCTGTTTTTTTGCTTCGTAAGCTTATTTTTAACGTTAGACATCGCCGTTCTTAAACCTTTGTCCGGGTCCTCTGAATCCTTGGCCAACGCTCCTGAAAAACATATGTTTAAAAAATGCGTTTTATTTGTTTAATTGTATATTTACCTTTTATAGCTTGTTGCAGAATTTTTATTGGCACAAAACATTTCGTCATCCACTTTCGGCTAACGGAACCCATTGAATACCTTCAAAATTTACGTACTTTAAACTAAGATCAATGCACAACATCTTAAACTTAATGTAGCACTTACCTGACTTTATTATATTAACTAAACGATTAAAGTAACTCTGCTGCGCACCATTAAAATGGATGCTTCCCTTTCAATCACTCAAACAGAATGCACCAAGTCTTCTCACCCCTTTACTAGATTTCTTTTGTTTTCTCTTCGCTGTTGGCGCGTGCCACTGCACCTATACCCTTTCTAAAGTAAAATATATCCGACTATATAGTTTTTACTTCTTGAGTAAAAAATACAATACGATTTTTTTTTAAATGTTAATACTTAAATATTTTAAATACTTAAATCAATTTTAACGGACTAAGTTTCTATAACTTAACTATAAAATTATATTGTAATAAGAATGTATAATAAGTAAATATAACATTATAAGTAAATTCAATTTACTAAATTTTACTATAATCAAATAGTTTACTTTTATAAAACAATATTAGTTGTTTTTTTCGATACACAATAATGCTCCTAAAATATTAGGGCATTCACATGTCGCTTCTCCACGAAAATTTTTCCGCCGAAATATTAGTCGCTAGCCGAACATAACGGAGAGACGCAAAAAAAATA